CACAGCTGGGGTTGTGACCCCTTGCCAGGGGCCAAGACAAAGTGGCAGGAGAGGAGCAGCAACGTCCACCTCCGCACCAGCCGTGGCGTGGAGCTGACGTGAGTTCTCCCACACAGCGCTCCCAACGATGATGGAGACTTATTTAAACTGACCTTGGAGGGGATATTTTTGTGAACACATCTTAGCCTGCCAGCTTCTCTCGTTCCATCAGTCTATAATAATCATTTCAAGGAACAACATTCGCTCACCACATTGCCAGGCATGTGGCTGTGATGGAGAGGAATTAGCCAGAGACCTCTGGACACAAAGGGAGCTTTGAGCATGCTGCTGATGCTGCTGCATGCTGCCTCATAACTCCACCAGGTCCATGCCCAGGTGGGTCCCACTCCTGCTTGGAGCTACAACCCCGTTACCACAAGCAGAGGATGATGCTGGGAGCTGGGACCCCCTGGGGTGCTTGTTCCTACCTCCTTGTTCCTACTAACACACCTTGTTCCTACCTCCTCTCAGGGGAGCGGGATTCATCCTGGAGGGGCTTATGTGCATCCTTGCCAGCTAGAAATGGCCACAACGGCCATCCCAAAATGATTCATCCGGGCAGGTTTTCCCTTAATTGGAGATGGGCAGCAGAGAGTACCCAAGACTGGTCCTGGCCAAGAGCAAAAGGCTGGGAGAAATTCCCCTTCCAGGAGCTGGATTAGAGAGATGCGCCTTTGGGAGGAGGGCTGCGAGAGGCCAGGATAACAAGGAGTTAAGTCAGGCCTCTGCCTGCCACATAGCTGTGAACCACGTCCTCCTCCGCTGGAGAGGAGGATGAGGGTTCTCCCCTGGAGCATGTGGGAGGAAGGCTCCCTTGGCACAGTGGCAGCTAGTTCCTTGAAGAGGGTCAGCTAACTGGCTGAGCAGTGGTGGATCTGCAGCCCCAGCGATGCTCGGACCTTGGGGATTGCAGGGGGTGCAGAAACTCCCTGCGTGCAGCCACCTCCAGCAGCATTACTGGCAGGGCCATGCTGGCACACAGCCCCTGGGCACAGCCCCTGGGTCCTGGCTCTTCTCAAGGTTTGGCTGCAGCTCCCCAGTTCGGGCACTGCCTGCCTTGGGGGACTCTGCCACTAACCTGGCCCAGGCACTGCAGGGCCCTGGAGCTCAGCACCTCCGTGGAGCAAAGAGATGGTGGGGCTCGAAAATGCTCACGTCTGCCTAAAAATGCCACCCCGAAGACAAGCAGTTACCACATGTGAAGCGATGACATTTTGACATGATTTCCCCCCTCCCCGCCAGAAATGCTGTGGTTCCCCCCTGCGCTGCTCCAGCCGTACTGGCCGAGTGGTGGGAGGGGGAGTGGGGGCAGGGAGTGGGCTCAGCCCAGGGGCACTGCAGGCCCCCAACCCCTCCCTGCCTGGCCCACTCACCCCCCCATCCCACCTTGTCGCAGATAGCACCCAGATGGGGTGGGCGGAGAGGAAAAAAGGGACCTGGAGGCTTTGGATTTTCCACCCAAGTGGGCCAAGAGTTGTTCCTGCACCCATGGGACCTGGGACACCCACTGGCCTGGGAGACCCAGCGGCTGGGGCAGGGACTGTCCTGGGCCCCCTCCAAACACCCTGAGCCAGGAGAGGGTCTGGGCATCACAGGGGCTTTGCAGCACTGGAAGAGGAGTTGCCTGGGCCATCACCTGGCTCAGCTCACCCCTTCTCCCACCGTGCCAAGGGTCCCCAGCTG